TAGAGAGTTCAAACAATTGAGAGCACATTTCATGTCTTACCAAATATAGTCCCATTGTTATTAACATGGTGTGACAGCTTACCTATTGGATTTTGAGCATTTCTATTCTTCTTTAGGAATTCAGTAGGACATATTGTTTGAGGTTTTTGTGGCATTGTCTTGTTAAGCACAACATCTCCTTTCAACTTATGAAGACGGAGGTCTTTAATTTTGAAGGCTCTTTGGTAATTCTTTCTTGCAACTTCGCTGCCTCCCTGAAACTCAATTCTTAGTTGCCCTTGGTCTTTGGTTGATCTAGAAGTTCACGAGCTGAGAGGATGTGATGCACGTCACTTACGATTTCTTCTTGTAACCTTTGTTGATGTCAATGATGATGAACCTGCCCATCGGTGCTATTTCTAAACAAGTACTATCTGCCAACAAGGATGATTGCATGGATTTTCTTAAAGTATGAGAGGAACACCTAATCACTTGTCCGTAATTTAGTGTGTAACTGGCACAGTTCTCCCATGGGTTGGCATTACTAACTTTCCATAGGTGACTTGATTTCTTATAAGTTGTTAATTGTTCTCAGCTTAATAATTGAGTGTGAAGGCATTGTGTTTCTTTTCATGGATTAGCAAAACTTTATTGGGAGTTTAACTTAAATTTATGATGGTAAAGTTGTAATTCTTTTCCGTATGTCTAATGGGGAGGTCTGCTTGATTTCTCACTAGTCCAATTCTCTTACATAGGAACTAAAAAATTAATATTGAGTTGGATGGACTAGTACTTCCTTGTTCTGCCTGAGGAGGATTAGAAAGTTTTGACAGATCATCTAATTCAACTCAATAGGAGTTAAGATTGTGCTGTCCTCCTCAAGGGTTCCATTGTATAGTTAAGGGCCAAGTGTGCTACATTCCGCTAAAGGACCCCCTTCACTTTCTGCATGTTATGGTGCCCAATGAGGACAAGAAGGGCAAAGGGGTGGCCACCAACAAAAATTTGGCCAGTCATCCTCCGCTCACTAAGAGCAAGTGGGCATTTAAAAACTCCCAATAAGAATTCATATCAGCATGGAAGAGAGGTCTGAGTTAATCAACGACAATGATTTTGACAATGTGGAACTCTCCATTGAAGAGTGAGCCTGAGCAGCAAGATCCCCCACCTAATTGTGCTCCAAATTTCCCCTTCAAGTTGCAATCTGATGATTTGTCGGTGTGCACGAGTTCATAACTCCATGCTTTGACAATGGGATTTTGTTCCTCATCTAACTCTTCTAATGGACGGACGGGACAAAAATGAGAAGTTTATTGCGCTTGCTAGTTGGTCGGGGCCCGACTCTGACTGGTATACAAAAGTTGGTGAGCATTTACCTTTTGTACAATAGCCTACTGCCTAATGGAAGCTTTTACTGGTGGAGTAGAGTACATCTGCCAACTTGCATTAGGAGGTGGAGGCAAAGGGTAGCCATGCCAAGGAAATGGAGGGAAAACTCCACAAAGCAGAGAAGTTATATATTCATTTATACTTTTTATTTATTATGGTGAAAAAGCTAATGGAGGTATATAACATACATTATATGCAAACCATGGGTGCTTTAGTTAACAAAAGAGTTACTTCACTTTTTTCGCAAAATACTAACAAATTTTAACAAACAGAGATCATGCTTACTATGCATGCAAATGTCTGCACATTAGATAATATGCTATGAGTTCAATTTCATTATATGGGATTTAAAGAATATTGATGTGATAATTGATGATGAGTGTCAAGATTTATTACTTGTTTATTCATTAGCTCTCTATTTTTTAAGTATTGTCATGAAATAATAATCTGTTAGAGATATCATTAGTGTAAACGATGTTAAGAATTCATCTCTTTCTAAAGGTATTATTATTCTGCTTGAGGATATAACGGATTGAAAGCTAGCTAAGGGAAGGGATTGCTATTAAGGTGAGATCTTTTGAGGAGTTTACCTTTAGTCATGATATAATTTACTCATTATTTCTCTTATAAGTATTCTCATGAAACCATATTATATGTAAGAGATATCATTATTTTAAGGGATGTTAAGAATTTTCTTATTTTAAAAATGTTATTGTTCCGCTTGAAAGTAACATATTGAAAGCTAGCTAAGGTATTGCTAGTTAAGGTGATATCTTTGAAGTAGTTTACCTTTATGCATGATACAAGTATCATGATAGGTGCAACAACATAACTTCTATTATAAAAAGAAAGAGCATGTGAAGGAAAATTTTAAGTTTTGGAGTAGTGTGTGAGTAAACCATAAAGAATATAATTTATGAAATACTAATGCTGTTTAAGATTGGAAAGGTGTTAATTTAAGTGGATGCTATTTTGTTGATTGCTAGATATGTAATGAACAGTGAATGCTGGATTTAACCTTTTCATGTTATAATTATCCTTGGAAGTTATTTTTTGCTTACTAGCCATGTGCTACTGGTTTCTATTTACATGGGAAACATTGTAGCATGCAAGACAACTGGTTTTGATATTATTAAATTGATGATGACTTTGAAATTAACTAAATTTAGTCATGTACTATATTTCTAAACGAATCATGTATCTTTGAGTGCTCTCAGTAAAATTGGATGCTTTTTGGTGAGCAATATTTGGAATTCATAGGTCTCTTATGGGTATTAAGTTTAGGCACCATTTGGGCTTTAGTGTATTGTGGCATGTGTAGATTTGGTAATTTATGATTAGAAATTAAAGCAAATTGAGTGAAAGGAGATGGAGTACTTTTTTGATTCTATGAAATCATGAATGTGCTAGAAATATAGTGGCGATTACATAGACATGCTGGAATATGCTTTTTAATAAACATAAAATTGACAATATATATATATATATATATATATTATATATATTATTTGTGTGTGTATTATCACTCTTTTGTTTGGTCATAAAGATTTGGGGCTTGTATTTTGTTGTGATATTGGGTACGTGGGTGTGGGGAATGATATTTCTTGTGCTCTTAAAGGTTCGAACCCTTGCTGAGAACACCTTTTCTTGTGGGAGCTGGGTAAAGGCTAGATCCATTTCTGGCTGGACGGGTGGTGTCCTGAGGGTATGCTGCAACCTCTTTTCCCTACTATTAACCAGAATCTATTGGTGGCTGATTGCTGGTAGGGTAATCAGTGGTCATTGAATTCCTTGCACTCTATTTTGACTCCTACTTCTGCTAAGGCAATATCCAGAATCACTTTTGATACTGCTCACAGGGACTCCATTGCCATCTTGGCCAGCAAATCTCACAGCTTCACACAAGTTATCTACTCTAAAATCCATCAATGGGAGAATGTTTCTTGGGGTGATTGTATTTGGAATAAATTCCTCACCCCTTCTGTCTTTCCTGGGCTGGAGAATTTTCCATAACCTGCTACCCGTTGATGATATCCTTAAATTAAGAGGGCCTTCCAGATGTTGGTTCTGTAAGCAAGCTGAGGAATCCATACCTCATCTCTTTTTCTGTGCCCTTTTTCCCAAGCTGTTTGGACTGAAGTTCTTAAGTTTTTAACTGTTAATACTATGTTGTTGGAATGGCATCAACTTAAACTTTGCTGGCTTGGGTGGTCCAAGGTAAATCTTGATACTATCCCTTTCACCCTTGCCTGTTTTATCTGGATGGCTAGGAACCAAAGCAAATTTGAGAACCTCCCTATTACTGCTTTAAAGGTGTCTGCCAATTGTAATTCCTTTCTTTCCAATCTAGTGGCTTTCAAGAAGTTTCCAAAGATCATTACTTTTTCCCACAGCCATGCCCCACAAAATTTGAGATTACTCAGGTCTTTTGGTTGAGGCCTGCCCCTGCAGTAATCAAGGTTAACACAGATGGTAGCTTCTCGGAACAAGGTGTAGGAATTTGGGGTGTCTTCAGGGATCACTATGGTAAATGCATCCTCTATTTTTATTCTTCTATTGATGTTTTGGATGCTTTGAAAGCTGAGGTGGCTGCTGTCTTTTGGGCCATAAAATTGGCATGTTTAAATCAGTGGGACAACTTACAGGTGGAGTTAGACTCCTCCCTACTTTTTAAAGCTCTAACTGGGGAGGCAAATCAGCCTTGGCATATTTTACTTTGGATCAGGAAAATCAAATCACTACAGGCCTCTTCTTTTGTCCTATACACTTTCATATATAGAGAAGGAAACAGACCGGCCAACTGGTTGGCTAAGCTCTACTCATGTTTCTACTACTCGCTCTTCTTCTTCTCTTGATCAAAAACATTATGTCAAGTCTAACAAAAATATAATGTTTTTGTTACTCTTCTTTATTTCAAGAGTGACTAATAAAGGTTTGTTACTATTTTTTTTGTTTTTAATAGTAAAAAAAAAAAAAAAAAAAAAAAACGTTTTGCTTTTTGTATTTTTTGTATTCATTATAATCATTCTTGATAGCTGCTTTTCATGTAAAAAAAAAAAAAAAAAAAAAGGTTTTTATTTTCTTGCACATGTGCAGTTCTTTATGAATTTTATCCGTTTGATGAAAGTCACTTATCAATGTTAGACTTTGTTATTGTTGTTCTTAATATTTTATGTTTATACTGTTAACATCATAAAGTCAACAGCACCAGAGAAATAAACGTCCACTGCTCCACCTCCGTTACTGACCTCATTGCAGCTTATCTGACTTCATCACAACCCTAAATCACCTAACAAACCTTACAATACACTCTTGAAATACTGCTCTCCAGTACTGTTCAGATGGAATAAGATGGTTTTGCGAATTGCTTTTCAGCTCTCCTTTATAGCTTTACTTTCTCTGTTCTGTTCTTGGGCAATGCTTAAATTTCGTTATATATATGGCTTCCCCTCTTTTATCCATCTTTTCTTTTAGTCTTTACCACAACGCTCTTCTCTTCTTTAACCTTATTGTGTTTGCTTGTATTGTACAAGCTGTATAAATATCAATGATGTTTGAGGATTCCTACTTTATGTTAAACACCTTATGACACTTTGTTATTGATGGTAATATGGGATGGTTGAATCTTGCAGACTTATTGGAAATAGAGCACCCGGGCGTGATCCATATCTGTCCATTTGGTTATATTACTTTTAGCTTGATATTTTTCATAACACAAGGAAATTCATCAGAAATTCATCATTACCTTGTGTGACTTGAAGTGAAGCTCCATGGGTTCAAGGTTTCCATCACATCAGTTGAGCAATGGTCTATATGTTTCTGGTCGACCAGAGCCGCCAAAGGAGAAGGGCCCAACCATGAGTTCCACAGCCATACCTTACACAGGTGGGGATATTAAAAAATCTGGAGAACTTGGAAAAATGTTTGACATTCCTGTTGATAATACAAGAACCAGAAAGTCGGGGCCTATCACTAATGCTCCCACAAGGACAGGGTCATTTGGAGGTGCTTCACATCCACTCTCCTTCAGATCACTTGTATTGCTGTTTTAATCCTTAATTTAGTTATTTTCTTCTACCATATTTTCAGGTTCATCTGTAGTTACTGGTGGTTCAGGTAGGCAGAAATCCCATTCCGGACCACTTAATAAACAAGGCGAACCAGTGAAGAGGTTTTCTGGGCCTCAAACTGTAGGTGTTACCCCTCTGTCTCGGCAAAATTCCGGCTCCATTAACCCAGTGCTTCCTACAACTGGGCTTATCACATCTGGCCCTATTTCCTCAGGTCCATTGACTTCTGCTGGCACTCCTCGGAAAAAGTCTGGTCCTCTGGACTCCTCTGGTGCAGCTAAGATACAGAAAGCATCCATTGCAACTAACCAAGCTATCACGAAGCTCAATCAGGATGAAAAGTATTCTCTTAAAAAGCGCTTCCCGAAGAACTTGTTTTGGTCAGTGATTCTTCCTTTCTGGATGTCCTTTTTTTTCTGGATGTATTATTTCTGAAAAGCTGTTCAAAATGATATTATTCTAGTTTTTTTTTTGGTGGCTATTTCTATTGTTGCAACATTTCTTATCTGGAATTATTATTGCATCAGGAGAGCTGTTAAAGGATTTGTTGATCGATTCCCAGATGCAGAACTTCGAACAGCGAAAGATGGTCAATATGTTAAGGTTTCAGGGGTAGGAAATTGACGATTATCAAATGCTATCATTCAGTTCTATTTTTGGTTTTGGTGTTCTTGTTAATTCCCTTTCTTCAAGTTAGGGATTTTCATGGCGAACTGTTATGCATATTATATACACTTCACATCTATAAGCTCTTGTTTATGCCCTATCTCAATCTTGAATTAATGTTCTGCCTGAACTATTGCAGGTTGTTACCTGTGGGAATGTTCCTCTTCAGTCGTCTTTTCTGAAAATTCCTAGATGCGTGTACTCATCTACATGTTTATATGAATATAGAGGTTGGGACTCAAAGTCTGCTAATTCTAAGCATCGGAGATTTACCTGGGGATTAAGATTTGCAGAGGTATGCAAAGCTGATATTTTCGTAGAGATTATTTCTTTTTACATGGTACAATTTATTTTTTTTAAATAACAGAGCATTTGAATAATCAGTAATTACCGGATAGTAACACAAGTTTGAATAATGTTACAGAGGCATGTTGTCGACTTCTACATCTCTGATTTTCAATCTGGGTTAAGAGCATTGGTCAAGACAGGTTATGGTGCAAGTGTGACCCCTTATGTTGATGAGACAATAGTTGCAGATGTGGATACTAGCAAGAGAGAAGTATCGGCGGAATTCTTTAAGTGGTTGAGGGAGAGGAACCTTTCAATTGATGGGCATGTGATGCACCTAAAAGAGGGGTAATTTACCATTTTACTTTTCTAAAGAACCTAGGAGGAATTGGGCATGGTTAAGCTGACCTGAATCTATTTTGAAAGTGTTAAATTACAATCATTGAAGTAACACTTGCATATGCGAGGATAAAACCAAGTTCATCAATCCCTCCTCAGATCCTACATGACTGGGAACTTTATGCATTTGTACTCTTTAGCTTTTCATTAACTTGAACCTTTTTGTATCATAGAGAACTGTTATTTCTCACCTAATAAATGCATGTTTCATGATGCTTAGAGAAATCACAAACAAAGTTTGAAAACCCCTTGCCTAAAACATATTTTTTATTAGAAGTAGGATGTCTTGTAAAACTTTCTTCCAAAATTTCCCTCCAAACTCTCGTTTCCTTCCTCAGCCGCAACAATTGGTTGCTTGGCTGCTTCTTGTGAAGAGGACCGACCCATCTGTTGAGGGAGTAGGTCGATTGGGAGGCTTTCGATCGGTCCCTCCTAGATCGGTCTTGTTACAGGCATAACAATACAACCCCCCCAAGGAAGTACCTTGTCCTCAAGGTGGAAGGATGAAAGCTGCTTATGGATCACCTCGTAAGACTTTCACGTTGCTTCATAGTCTGACAATCCTTTCTACTTAACCAAGACCTCCTTTGCTCCTACTCCTTGGCGCACTCCTCCGATCTCTAGCGGCTCTAGAATCACCCCCAAGTCCTCTGTCTGTGTCGACGGTAGTGTAAACGAAGGTGTATGATCTCCAATCACACGTCTCAGTTGTGATACATGGAAGACCTGATTTAGTGCGGACGATAGTGGTAACCTGAAACGGTAGGCCACTACCTCGATGCGTGTCATCATCTTATAAGAACCAAAGTATCCCAGTGAAAGTTTCTCGCTTCTCCTCCTGGCCAATGTCTTTTGTCGGTAGGATCTCAACTTCAAATAGACCATGTCCTCTAGTTCAAATTACACCTCTCTCCTATGTTCATCCGTTTTTCTACTTCATGATTTGTTGAGCTCTCAGTAAATGCCACTTGAGCTCTGCTAGTATTCTATCCCTCTCCAAATATTAATCAACACTGGATACTGATGTTGTATAATGCCCATAATTTATCAAGCGAGGTGAATCCCGCCTTCCAATATCATGATAGGTGGATAAAATGCAAACAATGGCTGCTTTCACAAAAATCAAAGGAAAACAAGCAAGTTACAAGGATGATGTACTTTTCAAGAGGTAGATCGTCTCTTCCAAAACCCTAAATATCGCTAGGAACAACACCGAAAGAAAAGAAAGCAACAACCAACAAAAACATGCATGAAAGAAAACAAAATCTAGGTTCCCCCTTAATAAAATCCTCACACAGCATTTGAAAACTTTCTTTCTAAACTTCCCTTAACTTCTCCTTGATTATGTGATTATGGCCCTAGTAAACCTCACCTGTATCTTTCCTTTCTCTGCCGCGACAATTGGTCTCTCGGTTACTTCTTGCGAAGAGGACTAGCCGGGCTGTTGCGAAGAGGACTCACCTAGTAAACCTCACCTGTATCTTTCCTTTCTCTCGGTTACTTCTCGGTCCCTATTGGACCGGTCCTGTTACGGCGTAACTTTATTATTTTGAAAAATGAAAGATCACAAGGGACAAACCAATCAAACTTGGATTTTTTTATTATTATTGTCATCATTGCTCAATCAAAGTTGATACTTTTTAACCTAAATTTTTTAGTTTTTAATATGGATCAATAGCCAATAATTTTAAACTAACATTTTTTAATTACGTAACGCATGACTAAATATTTTTCAGATATATTAATAAATTACTATGGGGGTACTTGGTTCCCTATATTAATGATATAGAGTAAACTAAATGTATTTGGTTGTATGAAACAAAATCCATTGTAAAATTTTGTTAAATTTGGAATTCATCATGCAATTCAAAACTGATGTATTCCGAATTTGTTAGATTTGGGTGATTTCTAAATACATCGTAAACTGCCATCACCCTACCATGCGTCATAGCCACCGATCATCATTATCGTCATCACCGAGCATATTTTATATTAATAACATTATTCTTCAAATCAAACACAATAATATTAATTCCTACGTTTAGTTTATATTAAATCAAACAACTTCAACATATTTCAAACACATTATATTTCTTTTTCAGCCCCTAACTTAACAAGTAGATATCTTCATCGCATCATCTACGATGCACAAATGTTAAAGCTTAGGATGATTATTACTCGACAAGCTTAAGGATTTGTATGTTGTAGGTACATCAAAGAGGGAAGCACAATCAGTGTGATGGGAATTGTTCGCAGAAATCATAATGTTCTCATGATCATGCCTCCCTCTGAACCATTCTCCACAGGTTGCCAGTGGATGAGCTGCATACAACCAGCAACCATAGAAGGCATCGTTCTGAGATGTGAAGATACTTCCAATACTGATGCTATACCAGTTTAGCATTATGTGCCTCTTTTTTCTTTTTACAATTTGTTTTAAGATGGGTGTAATATATAAAAAATCAATTAATTTTTATTTTGCACCCATCTTATTATGTTCGCTCAATTTGTTTTCTTATTTCTTCCATTTTTTCTCGTCTTAGATATTCTCCTGTTTTATATGTTTGCAGGGACTTGCAAACATATAATAGAGGAGAATATCTGAGATAAAAAAGATTCATGCGGTCGATCTCACTCAGTGAGATAAAGGCTTGTTGTTGTTGTTGTTGTTGTTGTTGTTGTTGAGGCAACTCATAACAAAGCTTGAGGGAAAGGTATTTTGATGCTTCCTACTTATCATGCTAAGTTTATTGGTGTATTTATCACAATCATTCCATTCATTTTGGGTAATTTGAATTTTAACCATCGTCTTTTGTTGAAGTTTTACATACATATCACTCAGTTCTTATGTATTTATATATCTAACACCTAAACTTCAGTTCTTACATAAATAGCCACCTTACCTATATATGAAAAAGCAAAGCTTGTGTTAGACATGTAAATACATAGGATTTGTGCGTTATGTAAATACATAGGCTATGATAGAGTAGCAGCATCTTCTGTGCAATTATGGTATTTAGAGAGGATCCTCCTTTTAGATAGGAAGATTGATTGTTGATGAGTTCATCAATTATTTATGCATTAAGTTCATCAATGATTTGTCAAACAGTATATTATCATCAATTATTTGTATGAAGGAAGAAGGTACACATAGTTCATCTGAAATAGTCCTCGGAAATATTTTAATTTTCAGCTGATTGCCAATTAACTCTATTGGGTAATGTAAAAAAAGGATTTTTTAATTGTATACCACTCAATTTAAATGTATTTATCTAATATTTAAACTTTAATATATATATATATATATATATATATATATATTAAAAGAATGCTGAGAGGTTATGATACGAGCCTTCAACCACTCTGATCACACACTGTAAGTCAGGTGAGCTCAAGTTGGGAACAACAAAATTTATTGGAAAATAAGGAAAATGGTTGTTTGGATTAAAAGTAAGAGTAAAATCATTTGTTAAATTTACGAATAAAAGAACATTACTCAAAATAAATTAAGTATTCAGACTAGTTTAGTTATGATAAATCAAAAAAAGATATATAAAAAGATAATATTTATATTAATGAGGTCTAATGCAAAAAAATAAAAAGAGACTGCATTATATTTTAAAAATATATTTTTTCCATATTATTAAATAGATCATATGCACACAAAAAAAACTTTTGCTCTGAATTGCATGAAAGCATCCATTAGGATTAGGTCTACTTATTAGTTGTCTTATTCTTTAGAGCACTTCATTCAAACTTTTTAATGTACCGATCCCAATTCTCCAAGCTCTTACATCTAAAATAATTTTTGTCAGCATATCTTCTTATTTTTAATCTTTTCTTACACATTATTATTTTACTACCAACAGTTTTTATTCAGAAGAGTTATTGCTTTTGATTTCCCAAGCACATCTTTTGCAAGTAGCTTAATAATACTTGTAATTTTATTCATTGTAGTATTAGTTTTTTTCATGAATAACTTAAATTGAAAATCTTAAATTTTATTCATAAAAATAATTTTATTTGTCTTTTAAGTGCCCATATCTAATCTTATGATAATATTTTATTGCATTTTCATCTTCCAACATTTAATCTTAAAATCCAAAACTAATAAATGATGTTGGATACTTAAATTTTTACTTGAAATAAACTTATAATATTTATAATCACGAAGATCTATTTTTCTCAAAAAAAAAAATTGTATTTTATTTGATTCATTTTAATAAGTGATAATATGCTCATCATTTTTTTTTTGTAAATAGAATATTAGCAATAACAAAATTATAAACATCACAGAACATAAGAAAATTGAATTAGAGAAGAGCCTCTTCCACTACTATTAGCTTCCCAAATCAAATTTATAATCAAGATTATGAGTAATAACACCTAAAAACTTGATCTAGCCTATGCATAATTCTTGCAAATGCATGTGTCATTCAAATATTAACAATGGATTGAGTTCAAAATCATTCCCATGAAGAATTGATGCAAATCACTATTTAGAAAACTAATTATTCATTTCCAAAACCCTAAGTCTATTCAATTTACAAAATTTAAGGTTTAATAAAAAAAAGTGCTAAAAATTTATTCAATTATTTGAACCTTTTAATTTCTTATTTTTATTTTAAAATTTCTAAATTATAAATTTAAAAAAACTCTACTATCAATTCATACAGCAATAGTTCCTATTCTTAGTTGATAATTAAAAATCCTAATTTCAAAAGATCTCAATGTGATATGTTTAGGATCTTTTAAAGTTGATAAAACCATTTTTCTAGATGATTGTTAAGGTCTAATTAATATATGTCTACTCTTCTATACCCTAATTACTAAACTCAAATGAAAATCTAGAATGTTGATATCCTGAACTTTTAAAAGATTTTAATTAAGTGCATGGTCACTACACTTTGCTAAATAAAGTTGTAGTAATAATCTAGTAATTATGATAAAAGGTCAACTCAAAGTCATAGTTAGAGAAATTTAAAAAGGAAAATTTATAAATCCAAAGTATAATTCACTTAGCCAATCATGATTAAAAACTTAATAATAAAAAATCTCTTCATTCAAATAGGTAATCAAAAGAGCTTAAAAATAAAAGAATAATAAAATATAACGAATTAGGGCACCCTAAATCTTTGACTACTATCCAAATTTTGTTATGGAATATTCTCCAAATTCATTGGCTTACTCACTTCTATTTGCCCTACACACACACACACTTGATCTCATTGGCCAAACACACTCTCATTACACATGCACTAAATCTTACACATGACTTCACAAAACCTTTATAGACTTCAATAGTCTCCATTTAATAATGTTTTCCCTCAATTTTAATTCAACCTCTCTAATTGCAATTCTCCTTTCAAATTTTAAGTTCAAAGTGAATAACTATTCTAGTTAGGTCGTTGCACTAAGGCACTTAGGCACCAGTGTTGTGGCATGTTGCTTTCTATTTTATGGTCCTTTGCTCATGCATCGATAGTGTCATGACACTCAAAGTTTGGCACTAGGAACCTTTCTCTTGAAAATATTATTGAGAAAATTCCCTGGCACTATCTTCAAACTCTTTATTCCCACATAAATTATCTTTTTGAGGATTTTCTTGCACAAAAAAATATGAAACGGTTCAGTATTTATAAAAAAAATGTGAAACTAAAATTAATTTACATAAATAATTAATGTTCTTTTCTAGCATCGAGAGAGGGTAAAGAATATGAATGCTCTTATTTGGCACAATACATTATTTTATCTTCTTCATCATTGGAATTCTACACTGATCAACATCTCTTTGCAAGGGGAGAGATCTTTCCATAGTATTTCAAGCTCTCTTTTAAACTTTATTAATCTTTTAAACTTTATTAGTCTTTTAATCATTGTTTTTGTGTTCTATCTAAATTTAATGTTAAACTTTTATCAACATTTCAATATTGTTTTCTTAGTATATCATCTGCAAATTAGATAGAAGCTTTTCAAGTCAATATTAAGAATTTCTACTTTCCTTATGAGATCGATACTGAAGTATTTAAGAAAAATCTTATATTACTTGAAACGATACGTATACTTGCGTAGTATCCCTAGTGTGAAGTTTTATTACATATTTTCTATATCATTTCATTTACTCACACTAGCCATTGTGTATACTTTGGGACAAGTTTTTGGTAATCTTTTGGAATTAAAAAAATCTACGTAGTTGCGGGTTGGGTCAAATTTTGGCGTCATTGCCGGGGAACGCAACTAAATTTTTATTGACTTAAAAAAATTATATTTAAATTATAGATCTATTTTAGGAAAATTTAAACTTAGTTTTAACACTTTTTAAATTTTAAAAATCTTTAAAAAATACCCAAAAATTTGAAAAACAATTTGAAAAACCTAAAAAATCAATATTTTTTTAAGAATTTTTATTTTGTTTGATTTGTTTTATTTTCTAAAATTTTATCTTTTTCATGTGAGTTTGGGATATGAAGGTTTAGTGTCGAATGGTTTTGAATTAGAAAAAAATAATTAGAAAAATTAGAAAACAAAAAGGACTTCACAACTTTCAAGAAATGACAAACAGATCACAAAATAACTTTGAAATTCAAAATGTTGAAAGTGAGCATCATAATTTATAAAGACCTTTTAAGGGATTATGCAAACCTTACAGTAAATGAAATTCATTTAAGCATTCAAACCCCTGCTGTAGTGGCTAACTCATTTGAACTTAAACATGTCATTATACAAATGATACAAAATAATAAGTTTGGGGGAAAACCATCCGAGGATCCAAATTTAATTAGAGCAAGTTTTCTAGAACTATGTGCTACATTTAAATATGTTGGCGTATCAAAAAACACTGTCAGACTTAGACTTTTTCCTTTCTCCTTAAGGGATAAAGCTAAGATGTTGTTAAATTCATTAGCATCTGGATCTATTAGAACTTGGGGAGATTTTATTAGTAAAGGTTTTATTAGTTTAAGTGTTTTTTTCTCACTCAACAGTAATCTTATTAGTAAAGGTTAGAACATCACTCAATGATCTCATGGACGTTAAGAAGTTATATCCTAAACTAAAAAATGAAAAGGTAATTTTATGTTGGGGTTACTGATTCTGTAAGAAGTTATAAAACCTACTTATTAGAGAATGTTAAATAAGATGTTTTAGAACTTAAAAGTTAAGATGTTAGTCATACTTGTTCAAGAATGAAATAAAATGAAATAAATAAGACATATAACCAGTGAAGGGTTATCAGGGTTATGAGGGGTATATAAACAACCGAAGACACACACACACACACACACTAATTAATATAGGTGGAGAAAAGAATCATCCCTAATAAAGTCATAAGAAAAATATGTGGGTAAAGTAAATACACTACATAAATCTTAAAGTTTTTATTTATATTATCAAATAGGATTAAGAATAATATAGTGTCTCAAAATATAGAAATATTATTCTAAAATAGATTTGATCACTAAATAAATATTTAAAAATTTATGGGTATGTGCGAATTAGAGATTTTTTCCCAACCAAAATATTGATTATAAAGGGTTTATTTTAATGGGGTTAAATAATTCATATAAGGGTAAGTTCATATAGTTAATTACATCTTAGCATAAGTCATCTCCAAAAAACACTCTCGAGTAAAGTAGTGGCTCGTGTTTGTGAATTTCAAAGTTTAGGTTTGCAAGTCTACTATTTTGAATTTTAATTAAGTGGATTAAAATAGAATAGTTCTTTTTAGAATCCAAGAAAGATAATGA